CTCGCGTCCTACTAGCAAATTGTAATAGAGATCCAAGATCCTCAACAATGCCAACACCTCCTTCTCTGTCACATTGTAATTCAACTCGTTCGCCTTCAGGGTGCGACTGGCAAACGCAACCGGGCGGTAGATCCCATCGTGTTCTTGCGTCAACGAAGCGGATATCGCCCAATCACTGGCATATACGATAACTACCGGCGTTCTCGTCTCGTCGAAATGGCGGAGGATTGGGGTAGTGGCAATCTTGGTTTTCAGGGTGGTGAAGGCCTTATGTACCCTGATCTACCTCTCATCTACTGGTTCCGTCATCTTCAGTTCCGGTGGGCCGTGATCTCGAGGTATCGGGTCGTTCCGGCCCATGATCTCCCTCAGGTCCGATCGTTTCTCCAGTTCTGCAAACTCCACCTCGCGTAATTCGTAGCGCAACGAAGCGTAGATAGCGTAATCTTCGATGAATCGGCTTTAGTAATTCAAACTACCCAGGAATGACCTTTCGAAGTGACCCGGGGAATGGCAGATCGGTCAGGGATTTCAGATCTTTTGGGTTCGCCTCTAGACCTTCGATCGACACTCGGTGCCCCAGATATCCTACCTTATCCATGCCCCAAAAGCTCTTCGCCACACTGATCGACAAATTCCACTTATCGCAAGCCTCCAACAGATCTTCCACCCTTTGGCACATTTGATCCCACGATTCCGCTGCGATCATGATGTCGTCGATGTATGATCTCCGTCCCAACACTGAGTCCCGATCAGGATCGGCCGCGATCCCGGTCTGGAACACGTCCGTTGTTGTTTCAGCATCGACTGATGGCGAGAACTTCAAAAGCCCATACAACGCGTTGTCTACGAGGAGTTGATAATCTGCGGGCATTCTTTAGGCCAAAAGGCATGCGACTCTATTCGAATAGTCCAAACGGAGTGATGAATGCTGAGATCTCGCGAGCCCGATCCGTCATGGGCACGACCCAGAAACCGCTGGCTATATCTAGTGAGCAGTACCATAGTGCTTTATCAAGATCTTCTAGCAGATCGCTGATCAGGGGCATAGGGTAGACTATCAATCTCGTGAGGCTGTTTACCAACTTGTAGTCAATGCACATCCTGATATCCACACCGTTACTCTTGCGAACAATCACGATCGGCGAGGCCCATGGCGATGTCGAGGGTCGGATGATCTCGGCGGCCTGTAGGCTCTTGATCAGGACTGCGACGTTTTCGCGAAATCGCATGGGCACTTTCCGGGTTCGCAGTGCGGTCGGTTTCGCATTTCCAACATCGATATCACATACGACTCCCTTGGCC